CAAAATGTGATTTGTATTTTATTACTATTCAGTTCAAAATATTTTGTAACTTCCATTGTGATTTCTTGTTGATCCCAAGTTATTTAGAATTGCATTGCTTGCTTTCAGTATATGAGAATATTTTTCTTATTAACATTTTATTGCTCACTTCAGCTTAATTTCTCTATGATCAAAGAGCATACTTCGTATAATTTTAATCCTTTTGAATTGAGATTTGTGTCATGGCACAACAAAAGACCAACTTTGATAAACGATTAATGTGAATTTGAAAATAATGTGTATTGTGCCATTTCTCTGTGCATATTCCTTTCCTTTGTGTCCTATCAATAATGTAAAAGTATTGTCAAATACCCTACTACACTGAGATTTGTCTATTTATTACCAAGGGAACATTGGATCCAATTGTCCAGTTTACTTCTCTTTTTCCTCTTCTTCTGAATCTTTAACCCACAAATTCTTTGCATTGGTAGATCTTCAGTGAAATCTTTTTTAAAAAGTAAAACATTTCCTGCATTTAAAAATTTATCTAGTCTAAAAATTTGCATAAACAATCTATTCAGCCATTTTTAAAGGCTCTGGATAGCTCTTTAAAGGTATATCATGCATAATTTACTTCCAAAATGGCAAAGGATCAATTTATGTTTATTCTTTATCTTGAAACAGATTTAGTATTTCATCTTCTGGATGAAAACCTATTTCCTACATTTTCATATTTTTTCCCTTAAAGTTGTTCTCTTATATTTTATTCATATGTGAAGACTGCATATAAAGTGTCTGCTTCTTAGGAACTAAAACATGCCCTCTTCAAAATGAAATAAAATAAAAATAAACAAGATTAAAAAAACATCAAATATAAATGTAGACTAAATCCCAATGACTTGGAAACCGAGTGCAAATTAAAGGACTTTAAGATATTTTTAGCATACTCTAGTGAAAAAAGTACAAAATAAATACAAACCATGTAATATATATATATTTTTCTCTCTGTACACTAACTTTGAGAAGATTTGAATCATATAATTGAGAGTAGTTATACATTTTTAAGATTTATTTTGTATATCTGAGATTTTTCTGGGATTTATTGTTGGTTTTTAAAATGCAAATTATGCAAATTTTTTGATTTTTTTCTTCAAATTTAATATATATTGTTAATATTATTTTCCCCCATTATTATTCTCCCCTACATTTATATATGTTCCAAAGGGTTAAGAACAGTATATATATATATATATATTAATATCTATATATACACACATATATATATATATATTAATATATATAAAGAGATTTATGTATAATCATATATATGTATATAAATTATTTTTAGATATTTTGTTGCATCAGGGGTTTTGTACAATAATTTTTTTTCTTTCTCCTGCATGATACAAACTTCCCATACCTACTTATTCATCTGACAAATTGTTACCGTTAAGTTTCTGGCTTACTAAACCTTTTCACCAATAATTCTTTCTTGACTCCCAAAGCTTGGGCAAGGCCCATCTCTTCTGTTTTATTTCATTTCTCTTAAAATGCAACTCACTTAATTGTAATTCTCTGTATTCCTCAGGAGCAGTGGTTAATGACTGCTTAGTTATACGTAAAATAATTATTTGTAAAGGTTTTATTTGCTTCCAAAATAAAGGGACCTAAAGCAAAGAAAAAAAAGAAAAGACAAATACTGCATAATCTCTCTTATATGTGGAATCTAAAAAAGGTGAGCTCATAGAAACAGAATGCAATGATGAGGTGGAGGGATGGGGAGGCTGTGGTCAAAGAACACAACATTTCAGTTAGGTAAGAGGAATTAGTTAAAAAGATTTCTTGTATAACATAATAACTATAGTAAATAATAATGTATTATATACTTAAAAATTGCTAAGGGAGTAGATTTTAAATGTTCTCACTATAAAAATTATAAGTATGTAACGTTGTACATATTTTAATTATCTGTGCTTAGCCACTCCACAATGTATACCTTTATGAAACCAACAATGTCGGACCAGGTATGGTGATTCACAGTCAGGCCAAATGTAGTGATTCATGGTTGGGCCAAGTGCGGTGATTCACACCTGTAATTCCAGTACTTTGGATACCTAGGTGGGAGGATCACTTGTGCCCAGGAGTTGAAGAACAGCCGGGGGAACATAGTGAGACCTCATCTCTACTAAAATTCAGAAAAATTAGCCAGATGTGGTGACTCACATCTGTAGTCCCAGCTGCCTGGGTGGCTGAGGTGGGATAAATGGTTGGACCTTGGAGGTACAGGATGCAGTAAGGCAGCGTCCTACCACTGCACTTCAGCCTGGGTGACAGAGCATGACCCTGTCTCAAAACAACGGTAACAAAACATGTTGTACATCATAAATAGCTATGTATTATATTTCCATTAAAAAATAAATAATAAAAATAATAAAGGGGCCCATACTCTACCCTTGACTATTATGACTGAATAGGTCTGGGATGAGGCTAATGCATTCACATTTAGCAAATGCTCCTCAGTTTAATTCAATGCACAGCTGGGGCTAAGGAATGCTGCTGGTGAACAAAGGGACTCTGATAATTTCACTGTTTTATCCTTTAAGTAGAAAAATATTTGGCATACAAGCACGTGATAATTATTTAATTAAAGAAGAATAAACTAAGTATTAATTTTTTTACATATATTTTGAAATCAACAACCTTACTGTTCCTTTCAGAGGCAAGCATGGTGTACGTTTCAATTCTTTTTTCTTCTTTTAAATTATTTTGCCTAATTTGTTTTATCATACAATTATATTTACCAAGAATTCCAGAATAAAGTTAAATTATATCAATATAAAGATACATTTTTTTGTCATGTTTCTTATTTTAATTAAAATGCATTGGGTGTTTTACCATTAAGTACTGACATTGACAATTATTTGGAGATTTATATTTATCTATTTAGTTATGAAACTTCCAATCTTATTTCACTAAAGATTTTTTTGAAAATCAAGACTGGATGTTGCATTTTACAAGGCGCCTCTTGTAAATTTTCATAGATGTAAATGAATGTACATGGATACATTCTTTCTCAGTTTCACCTATTTTCATGGTAATCCTTAAAAAGAAAAAACCCATACTGACTGGAAGAAAGGGATTAACAATGAGTTCGTTGGCCTCTTCTATTTCTCATGTATGCCTAATGCTTCAGCTGAAGTTCAAATTATTTTTGCGAGATTAACTCAAGAAATTTATAACACAGAATAGATCCAATATAGATGATAATCTTGTCAAGAATTACACGCCAGACTAACAACTGTACTTAATCACCAGTAACGTTTATTGAAAAACTAGTTGCCAGTATTGATGAGATACAGTAGCACTGGAGAATGTGAGCAAGTCATTGTTTTTGAGGGGCTATGTTGCTTGCAATGTGAAATGTGACCGTAGTAGTTATGGATTCTCTAGACTTAGGCAAATATGTGTGTCTCAAGTGCAAAATAATTTTGGGACACAGGAAGGTGCACTAGATAGCCATAGGACCTTCATTTTGCTGTTGCTTCACGTGCTACATTAGCAACCTGTCTTACATTCTTTCTTAAAGTTAAATAAATTTAATGTTATGTGAAGTGTGCTGTATCTAAAGAGTTTGCCTGTTAATTAAAAACTAAAGTTACCACTGCTAGTTGAGCAGAGAGCTAACATGGAAATATTTTCATATTCTGAAATGAACCATATTTAGACATAGCATATTATTCTCATAGTAAACTGCCAACTCTACCCATATTTAATTTGAAATTTTATAATTATAGTTCCAAACTTATATTGATCTATGTTTTCCCCTTTCTATCACATTTCAGTTCAAGCATCATACCAAATTTTAAAAAAATCATATTTTCCAATCTTAGATTTATTCATGTTTCATTTTTATTTGTATTTTTTCTGCTTATAGTCATATTAATTTCTCATATTGTAATTTAGATTATGCTTTTTTTAACGTATCTGTAATAAAATGCTGAGTCATTTTTCTGTTCAGATACAACTACCAACTTAATTACATAGATAGCCACACATATATGCACACACACATGATGCTAAAATACAGTTTGAAATCACATATTCACACAATTTTAGGCTATGATGAAGTTAGCCTCATCACACATTAACATGACTAAATACAGATGTCATTTGTTGTGTTGCTATGCCTTCATATTTTGAACTAATATCTGGTAATGTCTTCTCAGGTCATATATGCACTAGTTAAAAAAAAAAAAAAACTCAGGGCTGTGCTTCCAGCCTTGATGGAGTACTGGACTTCCCTTGGAGCTGTAAACAATTTGAATATAGAAAGCAGCTCTTTTCATATGTTGGATAATAAGCAGGACAGGACCATGGCCTATGAAAAAAAGGGTAATCAGGACAGGACCATGGCCTATGAAAAAAAGGGTAATCAAATGAAGTACATGCAATATCAGCTCCTTCTTTCTGCTAGGGGAAAATGGAAAACAAAAGAATCACAAAGAAATTACTAGAGATGAGAAATACAGTAACTGAAAAAAATTTTACTAGATGAGATAGATATCAGATTAGACCCTTCAGAAGAAAAGATCACTGAACCTGAAGATATAGCAATAGAATCTATCTACCAACAACAGAGAATATAAAAGACTGGAAAAATAAAATAAATAGAAATTCAGTGACCTGTGTGATAACATCATGCATTCGAGGTGCTGTGCAATAGAAGACTTCTTGTATAGAAATGAGTTGAACAAGAAGACTATGGAATGACATAAGAGAGACAAGTTGCATACAGATATGCTATAAATAGGTTTTTTACTGAAAAAAATTCAAGTTATTTAATTTTGATGATGTGGGTAGGAATGTGAGAAAGATTAAATGAAAAATATATATTCTACAAAGAGAAATAGGAATTGAATAATATTCAATATATATTCCAACAAGAAATGGGCAAATAAACCACTGAAATATAAAAAATTAATTTATTACACTTACTTGAGTTGTCTCAAAGTTTCTGGAGAAAACAGTAGTTTTAAAATATGGAGTTATGAGCTCAATAATCATGTGTTATGTAAAATTTTCAGTTCTAATAGCCCAAATTAACATTTAGCTAAAACAGAAAAAAAATTAAGATTTTTTAATTAAAAATTTTATTTTCCCACATTTCTCATATTTCTTGGGTCTGACCTAAATGTTGCACTTTTACTAAGTTCAAAGGAATTTCTGTTTTTAGATTGTGGGGATTGCTCCTGCGAAGGGCCCTTGACAAGACCCTCACCATCTTGAGCGTGAGCCCATACACATTCCTCTCCTAGAGGCTGTTGAGCTAAGGGAAAAGAGGAAGTCTGGTTACATCAATCTTTGCCTCTGACATTTGCAACAGAATGGCTGAGCTCAGGCCTTGTGGTGTAACGAGACATTGTATGGTTAGACATTGTGTGCCTCCTAGTTCCTTCTCTGCACAATAACTGTATGACTATGTTTACCTTTACTAACTCAATCATATTGTTTGCATATAATTCTATATGAACAGGCAAGGTTAGAATGACATTTGGAAAGGTCCAGCTGTACCTTGTTAACGATCTTACTTGCTTGTTTGACTGATTTTAGATAAACATATGTTTAGATTTATGACCCCCTTTTGCAAACGTTATTGTCCCTTCGCTGTACACCCTATGATTAAGAGTCATACTTTCTGTACCCCTTTTCTTGTGATTTATGTTCTTGATTTTATTTCAAGATGCAATGGAATGTACGTCACTCCTCAAGCACTGAAAGGTATATACATAAAATCTGTGGTGTGCACAAATAAACTTGCTGTTTTGGTACTTGCTGCTCCGGCATTGCCTTGCAGTCCTCCAGACCCCACTCTCTATCTTTTCTTCCTCGCACTCCTTCTTCCAGGTTGAGAACATTTGAGTGGGGCTGAGGCTCTCCACTGGTCGGAAGCCTCCCGGCAGACGTGCCAGACCCCCACATTAGATAACCTAAAAGAAGGCATAATATTTATGTGTAACATCTAGAATTATACACTTTTAATACTTGTCCTAGAGTTTGCTTTGCTCTTTGGAATATATATAGTCTAGAAAGGGTCTCTATCATGATACTCTTTCACTGGTTGCATTCTGAAATTTGATAACCAAAGACAGACCCACGATTGAGGTTTGTGGGATGTAAAGCTTATACAATTTGGGGACCCTGTTAAGAAAATGATACAAAATGATGAAAAAAGGTAAATATGAAAGTCAAAATTAGATATAGAAGATAATTATCTTAATTAGAAAAATATTAACAACTCACAAGTTTGAAACAAAACCACGAACACCATCACAAAAATACAGAAATAGATTGTTTTTGATTGTATAATACACAGCGTATGCTTTCCTAAAGTTTTAAACTCACTATGTAATTACCTTTTTATGAGAAATATTTTATAACATGATATTTTATACAAAAGTAGTAAAGAAATGCAATCTTTCCTCTAATATGTGGTTGATACTGACAGTTACTATGTGGAAGCATATTACTCTTTATGTGGTTGTGCTTGATGGTCATAGTACTGCTAGAAGTTTGTGCCCAAAATATAGAAATTGTCATAAATTCAGTTTTGTGTTATGTACATCAAACACACACCAAAAAAAATGGCGTGTTTACAGTTTTATACACTGTATTATTAAGTGATACTAAAAATGGGGTGAACTTTTCTTTTGCCTATGCCAATATAAAACAAATCCTGTGGTTAAAATGTTACAAGCCTGAGGATTGGAAAATATATTCAAGAATAGTTTTTATTTTCATGCATATAAATATTTGGTTCTACCTATTTTCCAATATATCTAGAGCCTGGCTCTGTTGGCAAATTCTTGTTATATTTTACCTTTCATCTTGGCATTTGGTGACTGGGAGAGCCAGCACAGTAACCTATAGGTATACTCCTGCCACTATTACATGAATATACCTAACCAAAATTTAACTCTACATGAAAAAAACTGCAGAAAAACCCATCAATGTTAGGTTGGTACAAACATAACTGTGGTTTTTGCCATTGAAAGTAATGGCAAAAATGACGTTTGTACCAACCTAATATATTTAATTAATGCTATTTCTAAACTGCATGCATTGTCAGATTAGCTTTTCCTTCTTTAGATTATCCTCACAATCACTCAATATCCACCAACAAGGAAAATGTGGTGGTGAAGAAGTCAGAGTGACAAAGACAGTGATTTTAACTGATTATAGTTAAACTGTCTTACTTTTTACATTTTTTTTTACAAAACATGTGATCCTGAAAACCCAGTGTTAGCACCTATCCTACAGCTCTGAATATGGTGGGGGACGCTGAAGCTTATTTAGTTTCATTATCTTTCTGGAGCATTTCTCTTCTCTAATAGCCATTCTTAAAAACATACAAATAACAAACATCTTAATAATATAAGAATTTTGAAAATTGAGTGAGGAAAGAATTCAAATTGTGGAAATGCTCCTACCGTATTTTGGGGGTACACAAATGGGATAAGATAAACTCCATTATTCTAGAATTTACAATTTCCTGCAGAATGATTCATGTTTCTTTCTTTTTGAAATGAGTAAATAAAGCTTCTCTAGGAAAACAATTTATTCTAAATGCAAAGATCTCCTTACTTCAAATACTGAATTTCCTCTCTCTTTTTCCTAACAGGGCTGTCTAGTACTATCTAAACTATATATGTAGTTATAATAGATGTTAATATTTGCTCTGTAAAAATACTTTTTATTTTTTAGCGTTCAGATGTCTCTTTGTTGCCCAGGCTGTTGTGTAGTGGCACAATCACAGCTCACTGTAGCCTTGAACTCCTAGGCTCAAATGACCCTTTCTTCTCAGCTTCCCAAGTAGCTGGGGCTACAGGTGCATGCACAATGCCCAGTTAAAAATACTTTTATTTCTAAAATGCCAAATTCTATATCAAAAAACATTCTCTGACTTTATCAATAATGTTAATTTGAGATTTTGGAGTTCATATTTTCTAAATGAACATTGTGGGATATTCTTATCTGCTATATTCAATTTTTCTCAATTGTTTAAATGTGTATCATTTTTTATTGACTTTGAGCCAAGAACTCCTGGTTTACTAACTTCCTTTGCTGAGAATGACCAAGCAAGAGTTGAATTACTTATGGTTTTAATGGAATTCAACCTCTGTGGTGTAGGTCTTAAGATGGTTCAGGATTTTAACCTTAACAGAGATTTGGTATTCTGTGATTGGTAATAGAGCCAGTTTTCTGAAAGCACATTTTGCTTGCCCAGGATGAGATCTGCAGAAAGTATTAGGTTTCATTAAGTAGGCTACACCATTTGGAAGGAATGTTCTTCTTTTCTTTGACTGTTGGATTGTGATAAGCCTTTTTGCTTTTGCCAGAAGTGATCTAGTTAGTGTAGAGCCTACCGATTAAGGTAGACGCCAAGTGTCTTGTGGTGGTTCCGCTTTGATAACCACATAAGAGCAATGCTGACTTGTTATGAGGCCAGATAGGCAGGGGCCACACTATAAGATAGATAGTTATACTTTATTATTTAAAAAAAAGTCCTAAAAGAAAATCTTGGCTATAGCAGTTGAAGCAAATTGGTTGGATACTTATTCTATGGATAAAGAATACCTCAAGAAAGAAATTATAGACAGTAATTAAACCTATCTCTAGAAATATGTTGCTGATTTTCTTGAAGGGCAGAATGAAAATTTCAAATCTTAACTGCAAACTTACATGATTATTTTAGTTACCTGTTTCTAGGAACTCCTAAATATGTCCTTTCTCCAGAAAAGGCCCATTGGATATAAAACTTCTGTTACTCACCTGGGTTCCCACCTAAGCTCTGAGGGTATTAATTGCTTTGGGCAAAATACATAACCTGTTATGTAACAAATTACAAGCCAGTTGGTTTCTCCATTCTCTAACTGTTCTCTGGATTCGGCAGTGATATTATACATTATTATATATGTAGGTCAGCAGTAGAAGACTTAAAACCTGTTCAGGAATCTTGATACGTTAAACAGATACCAATGACTTTTTATTAGTATAAATTTCTATTTTAAGTTCAATTTAGATTTCATTACTACAAAATCAATCAAGTAGAACAATAAAAAAAACTCATGTAAACAAAAATTTGAAATTAGAACCTATAGATGACAATAAGGCTTATAGCATATTTTGCAGTCAGATAATTTCTGTTTTATTCCCTTTCAAGTTATCAATATGATCTTGGTTCGTATAGATAATTCCTTATAGCTTACAGAAAATTTTAACTTTTGTGGGATTTTATTTTGCATCTTGGCTTGTAATATGTAAATTACATGAGAGCAGGTATTTTCTCTACTGCATCAATGATATATCTTGGCACTTTAGAGGCTGGGAATACAAATATTTGATGCATTCACTTTTTGGATATATTTCAATGTCAAAACGAAATGCTAATAATAATGGTATTAATAATCTCTACTATTGTTGAGCATCCATTTGTTAAGTAAAATTTTATTTGCTTTACAGATATTAGCTAACTTAGTAGTTATAATAACTTAAGATAGGGTATTAGTATTAAGCAAGAGATTAGGTAAATCTCAAGGTTTCAGAACTAGATTTTACCAGAGCTGAAACTAAAATCTATGAAGCCTGACTTATGAGAAAATACTCTTTAACTATTAATTATAGAGTAAGTCACTAAAAATAAACTAAACTTGTAATAATTAAAGATAAATTATATTTTGAATAATATATATCAAGACTAATTAAACTTAAACGCAGAAACTCGGTTTACTTGTCCCATTAGTTACATTTCAAGCTCTCAATGGCCACAGGTAGCTAGGGGATATGGTGTTTGACAGTGCAGATATGAAACATTTCTATCATCACAGAAAGTTCTATTTAACAGTTTTCATCTAGAACAGACATTGGCAACTGTTTTCTGTAAAAGGCCAGAGAATCTTTAGTCTTTGCAGGCCACACTATTTTTTTGCAGCTATTCAACACTGCCATTGCAACATGAAAGCAGCAATAGACAATACATTTAAAAAATGGGCATGACTGTGTTTTAATGACATTTTATTTATAGATAATTAAATTTGAATTTTATATAATTTTAATGTGTTATGAGATATTACCTTTTCCTCAAGCATTGAAAGTATAAAAAAATTCTTAACTCTGAGGTCAGAAAATAACAGGTAGTGGGTTGAAGTTTTCTGATTCCCGTTCCAGAAATTCCCTAATATCTTAATTCTGAAGTGCTATAATTATATGTTATTTACAATTTTCAACAAGATTTTTATCTATCTCATTAGGGAATGTTGATAAGGACTACCTCTAAGACTCACCTTCTCATACTTTTACATACTTTGAATATTTCAGCTTTATGTTAATTATTAAAAGAAAGTATAGTTAATTGTCTGAATATCTCTCTTGCTGGTGTTCCTAACATAGATTAGAAAACATGTCTAATGTTATTTGTTGTATTCTCAGAAGTTTGCAAATTTGTGACCATTAGAACTTTGGCTTCTGCTACTTGAATTAGTGAATTTATAAACTTAAAAATCTGTAAATACAAGAAGCTGGTTGTTGTACAGGTAATATTTCACAGCTCATAACACACTGCAAGGGTTGTATAATATAAAACATTATTCTGATAAGTAGTTTTACAAAATTGTATAATAGTGAAGTGTAGAAAAGAGGTTTAAAAGAATCAGCTTTGTGGGGATTATGCCCTCCCTCTCTGACAGTTGACAATGTGTAAGGTTTTCCCACTGTTGCCACTGTTTCTAGTAATAAGTCAAAGAATGGTCTACCATGGTCAGTTAAATGTAAGTATTTTCAGGTCATTTAATTAACAAACCTAATGAGCATAAGGTGTAGTATATCCTTATATCCTTATAATTTTTTTCAACATAATTATCTCACAGAGTAATGGTAAACCTACCTGTTTCTGACCATTTTCTGAAAATTCAGCATGTAGTGAAGATTTTCTTAATTATCTAACAGGAAGAAAAAATCATGAATTTAGACCAGTGGTTTTTCCATGTGATGCCCAGGACCAACCCCAGACCATGAACTGGTGTTGGGGTGAGGTGGTGACTGGACCTCAGAAATTACTTGTAGGTTACCAGAAAATTTTAATGTGCAGCAAGGATTATAAACCAATGCTTTAATAAAACACAATTAAGGGCTTTTCTTTCAGTTCTTCTATGATATTAAAATCGGAGCCTGAGCTTTCAACCAAACTGACTCAACACCCAAAACACTGCATAGCACAGCACTGGAAAGAGAATAGGAAACCTAAATATCTTGCTGGTATAGTGATCATAAGAAGATCATCCACAAACGTTAAAACATAGTGAAGTGCAGTAGTGATTAATCAGAAGTGATTAATTAATTAGTAGTCATGGAAGCATGAACATAGTTATAGCCTAGTTTTGGACAGAGATTCACAATTAACTATAATAATACAAATCTAGATTTTAGTTCATGGCACTGGGACTCTTAGGAGCTGATTTAAATTAGTGGCCATTCAATTATTATACAAATTATTGACTAGTTTGTTTAATATCCTAAAATAATTTATAACCTGTACCAAAGAGCAGATAATACAGAAACCTGAGGATGTAGATCAAGTAATAATGTAGTCATATAAGAACACATGAAGTAAAGAATGTTGGATTATATTAAGAACTAAAGAATGAAAGATATTCAGGATTCAAGGAATAAGATTAATGTGATCTTTACATAAAATAAATAAACTAAATGATATATAGTAAATGATATAAACAGCATTATGAATCCCTCTGAGAAGGCATTCTAGATGATTTATATTTCTATTGAAAATTGAAGTTAATAGGCTCAGGAAATAAAAAGAGAGAAAACATCAAGGAACTTATTCAGATCAATTACTCTGAAAACGATATAAAATTTTTGAAAAAAAAAGTCAATAACATGATGAAGTATTAACCAAGTTTTTATTTTAAAGTTGGAAATGTGGAAATGTCTAATTTGTTTATGATTAGGAAGATTTCACAACATTTTTTCAGTCAACCTCTACAGACTATTTTAATCTTTTTTTTCCTCTTAGAAGACAAATAATGAATTTTGAATTTTATGATAGGATTTTTTTTCACAGTCATATCATTAGAATTTTGAACAGTGATTTTACTAAGTTACTCATAGTATAAATAGTTATTTGATAACACTAACTCATAAAAATCATATGATGACACAGGTATATGAAATAATTCTGCACAGCGTGGTAGGTAATATGCAAATTAAGTCAGCTAAACTTAGAGATTGATGTAGGAAATTCTGCAGGGGGACACAATTTGTATGTATCTTTCCTTCTTTAAACTTATTTTTGTGAATACATTATATTGGGTCTCACATAGACATTCATTATAACTTTATCTGTGGCAAGATTTTATGGAATGACAGGAAAGTGGGTTACAGAGACGTATTAAGATCTCCAGTAACCAAAGTTTGTATTTCTTGGTCTGCTGAATTTTAAGTTTGAAAGTTTTGCATGCAAGACCTATTTTTACAGACTTGAAACCCTTAGACTGTTAAAACATGTGAAAGTAACATCTATATAAAACTAAAAATGTGACTAAAATTATCAAGAAATCAATTTTGATAATAGTTTAAATTTTTCTTGATAATACTTTCTTATCCCAATGTTTGGAAATGTGTAATTCAAAGATCAATTGTTTCTAGACCTAAATGTTTTCTAGCGCATAAATGGTTTTGCTATCATGAATTTGATGTATGTAGACATAGTGCATGAAATGGTTTGGCTCTGTGTCCCCACCCAAATCTCATCTTGTGGTTCCAATAATTCCCACATGGAGTAGGAGGGACCCAGTGGGAGATGAGTGAATCATGGAGGGTCTTCCCCATGCTGTTCTCATTATTAGTGAATGGGTCTCACAAGATCTGATGGTTTTAAAAACTAAGTTTCTCTGCATAAGCCCTCTCTTTGCCTGCTGCTATCCACTTAAGATGTGACTTGCTCCTTCTTGCCTTCAGCCATGATTATAAGGCTTCTCAGCCACCTACAAATGTGATTTCACCATTAAACCTCTTTCTTTGGTAAATTACCCTGTCTCAGGTGTGCCTTTATCAGGAGCATGAAAACGAACTAATATAGTCCATTATTTGCTTTTAAAGCCTATCACATGTCACTTATATTTCATTGCCATTAGAAATCATTCAAAAATAATATGCAATTGTCAGAAAAGCACTACTGATTGAGACTTTTAGAAACAAAATATGCTCTGTCAGTATTTTTTTTGTAACATAAATAACAGCAAAGCTTAACAGATATAAATAAACCTGCATTTCTATTGTACAAGATGTGACTTTGTACTAATGTAGGTTAGAAATATGTACAAAATTAACATGAAAAGTAGAACCTACCAGGGAGAGAAATGAAAAAATGCTATTTCTAAAATGCATAGCTGGCCATATAATAGTCCAGTTTAAAGATAAAGGAGAACTTTCTTTACTTATGTTTAGAACCCTTATTGTTTTAAGGTTCCTGAGATTTTGGTCAAGCTCTGGCACACAGAAACTTAGATAAACATACTTAATGATAAATTAAACCTGCAGCTACAAGGACTCTTTCTTGAAGGAAATGATTGCCTAATACTTTTAAAATGTTTTTGATTATATAAGTCTGTGTAAGTCATGAATCATGTGAGTTTTGTTTACTATAAAGCTAACTCCTTTTTAATGATGCATATTGAGGGTAATTTTATTCAAATTTAAAGATTAAGATGGAATTCTAGACATTTGTATATACTTCTCACTATTTTTCTAGTTGCTATTTCTCTAGATTTAAAAAGATCAATTTTTCAGACTGGGCTTCCTTCCTTCCTTCCTCCTTCCCTTCCTCTCTCCCTCCTGTCCCTCACTCCTTCCCTCCCTCCTTCTGATGTGTTTCAGCCCAGAGAATGTTTCAGTAGGGATGGGAACCTCAGATTTTCATTGCAACTGCATACGAATTTAATGATATGGTTTTATATAAAAATGTGCTGCAAACACTAAAATCCTGATATTGACTACAATTTAATTGAACTCTGCCTACAATTAGTTTTTCATGCCAAATAATCTAGTGTCCCTGTGATTTACTGTCACTTAAAAAAACGTTCCGGAAGAGGTCCAGAATTTGTACAGAAGGCACATTTTAACATTCCTGAATTTCTACAGAAGGCAGATTCAGTTTCATGACCAAGGTTTAAATGACCACTTCTTACTTTCCTTTCCAATCTAATTTAATATTGTGTATTACCCTAAATCCTTCTTGCCAAACAAATTGTTCTTACTGTTCTTAACTTTCATTTCATGAACCATTCTGTCTTTGTGTTCTGGCTCATCCTGCTCCTTTTTATTGAAATACCTACCTGCTGCCTCCTGCCTCCTACCCTTTCTTTCTTACTGCCTTTCCTTTCCTTTTTTTCCTTTTGCTTAAATTTTCAGGACCCAGTTTTTGTTCCAGATTACATGAAGTCTTTTCTTACTATCTCACCTCTTAGTGATTTCTCCCTCCTCTGAAATCCTCAATATTCATTATTTTACTCCTTCTCTGGAACTTGACTTAGAAATGGCATTATTCAATCTTCAGAGATGCATAATTATTTAGGTGAAGTATACTGATATTTTGCATCCCCATTTTGGGGAGAATAAAATTAAAAGGAGAACCCATATGCTGTCACTCGGAAAGCTTGTTGCTGACGGAAGAGAAAAACAATATGGTTTATTCCTAGACAGAGTCTTAGAGAACTCATTTCCAATGTTCGTCAGCAAAAATGATAAAATAATTACCTAAAATTTAAATTACTTAGCAAGTCCATAGTCTTAAAAAATTATTTTATGTCTTCATCAGTCTTTATGATCCAATGACCCTTGGAGGGATCACACTTTGCTGTTAAAACAAATCCAAAAACCATTAATAACTTCTGAGATTTCTTCATCTTAATACCAAGTATGGAGGAAATAAATGAACAAGATGAAGGAGAGAAAGGAGGAGATGATGTTAATGAAGAACTAGTTGTTCCTGTGTCCAAAATGAAGTAATAATGGTGTTAAACACTGTTCAACTCAAATAATTGTAAAGAATTAATGCTGATGACACAGAATGTACTCATTTTTGGGAGTTGTGATTTGTTCTATAATTTTATTGCTTATCAACAACAGAAAAGTTGGATTTAATTATCCGCAAATACTTGTCATGTTCATGTGGAGCAAACATATTTTGTCATTGTAAAACTGAAGATGAAAGAAATCTATATTTTATTGGCTCAATAATAAGTGATTGTAATTTAAAAAGAGGTCACAGCAAGGATTTAAGGCATTGCCTTATGGCTATTCCTGTAGCTGTACCTCCTGTAATAAAATACATAACATATTGAGTGTTCACTGTGTGTCAGCTACTATGTGAAACTATTACATGCATGTCTTGTCAGCACGCATTCTGCTTTGGGGATGAGGAAACGAAAAGAGCATCACAGCGAAGTGACTTGCCCAAATTCATGGAGAAGCTGTCAGTTACTGGGAAAACTGGAAATTGATCCCAAGCAATCTGATTCTGGAGCCCTCATTCTTTCTATATTTGAAGGCAGCTAGGCGGGCTCAGAACTATCAATGTTTACCAGCTCTGTTGCTTAACTTCTCTTTTACTGCTCTAAGTTATTAATGTAGGTGCTTTGCTATGCAAACATCTGATTGAGGACAGGAATATGTTTCCTTTTTAAGGCTAATGTTAAGGGAAATAAAAAGCCAATCATATTTTGGGATTCATATGATTGATATGGCCTTGGGAAAAGTAGTCAAACCAATAATGTCATACGTCCATTTCTTCTTTAAATGTAAATTTGTCCCAACTGAAGTCCCCAATATACAATAATTATTGTTTTCTTCTTATGTCAATCATACATTGAACATATACATATATATTTTTCTTTTTTTTTTTTTTGAGACGGAGTTTCACTCT